CTGGGTGACATGGGTACTGGGTGACATGGGTGCTGGGTGACATGGGCACTGGGTGACATGGGCGCTGGGTGACATGGGCGCTGGGTGACATGGTACTGGGTGACATGGGTGCTGGGTGACATGGGCGCTGGGTGACATGGGCGCTGGGTGACGTGGGCGCTGGGTGACGTGGGCGCTGGGTGACGTGGGCGCTGGGTGACATGGGCGCTGGGTGACGTGGGTGCTGGGTGACATGGGTGCTGGGTGACATGGGTGCTGGGTGCTGGGTGACATGGGCGCTGGGTGACATGGGCGCTGGGTGACATGGGTGCTAGGTGACATGGGTGCTGGGTGACGTGGGTACTGGGTGACATGGGTGCTGGGTGCTGGGTGACGTGGGTGCTGGGTGACTTGGGTGCTGGGTGACGTGGGTGCTGGGTGACATGGGTGCTGGGTGATGTGGGTGCTGGGTGACATGGGTGCTGGGTGACATGGGTACTGGGTGACGTGGGTGCTGGGTGACATGGGTGCTGACATAGTTGCTCCAGTCTTCTGGAATGTGGCAAGCACGCTTAACCAAGCTAAGCCATATCTCTAGCCCTTTGGTTTCTTTTATTAATTTATTATTTTAATTTATTTATTTTATTTACTTATTTATTTGGGCAGGGTCTTGTGTAGCCCAGACCAGCTTCAAACTGAATGGGTAGCTGAGGACGACCTTACTCTTCCTGTCTCTGTCTCAGAAGTGTATTACAGGCATGAGCTACCAGAACTGGTTTCTGTGATACTGAACTCAAGACTTGGTGAGTGCCAGGCAAGCATCCTGCCAGGGCAGCTCCGTCTCCCGCCTTGATGCTGGGTTGTGTTTTCAGTTCCCCTCCTGTGCAGCACTGTCCTCCAGGCTCATGCTTCAGCCTTTATCGGCCAATTAGCACCAATTCCTCTGTCTAAATATCACCGTTAATGCTGCCCCCAAGACCAGTCACCCAGTTCACACGGGTCTCTCCCGCAAGCCATTTCTGTCTGTTTGTGTTGCGCTTCCCTCCCTTCAGGGAGGGATCTTGTTTGCTTGGTCATCCCTTGTGTCTTAAGTGCCTCGAAAAAGACCCAGGACAGGGCCAGGTGCTCAATCAATATTTATTGAGTGAATGAGTAAATGTAGTCTCTCTAACTAGACTGCAGGTTCCCAGGGGCGGGGGCAGGATCTGGTTACTTCCTGGAGAGAGCCAGCATTTTCTAGAGTACTATCCATTGATGCTGTGGAGGAGAAAGAACCCCGGGCTGCAGGCCTGGGGGACCAGGGGTCAGGCCATTCCCTGGATCTTGGCTCTCTCTCAGGGTCCTTGCCTTGGATTTCTGGAGCTATCGTTGCTCATGCCAGAGTCTGATGAGTGAATGGCCAATCCATGGGACACTTAGGGCGGCCCTGGTTACCGTCACAGCTGGGTAGCCGTCTGGACACCTGTTTCCCAGTTCCTTCTTGAGCCACCATCTTGGGTAGTTGCCTGGCTGCCCCGCCCATATACCCTTCAAGCACCCCGCTCTCAGTGAGTCCCACCTGTCTGCCAACCCATTTGGCGTTCTCCCTGAATGCAGTACTAGTCACTCAGGCTCCCAGGCCTGAACCTTGTCAGTTTTCCTCACTTCCTCCCTTGCTCTCACCCTGTTGCCCTCTTGGCCAATTTGTCAACAAGCCTCAATTTTCTTTTTTTTTCTTTTTGTTTCCTTTTTATTTTTTTTGAGACGGGGTTTCTCTGTGTAGCCCTGGTTGTCCTGGAACTCACTATGTAGACCAGGCTGGCTTCGAACTCACAGAGATCCACCTGCCTCTGCCTCCCGAGTGCCGGGATTAAAGGCGTGCACCACTACTGTTGGCCTTTTTTTTTTCCCCTGCCCTGAATTCTCCCTGGACTTCTGCAACTGCCTCCTCACTGGTGTCCCTGTCTGTCACTGTTGTCCTGACACAGCCCTCTCTTCTTCCTTCTCTCCCTGCCCCCAGCATTCAGAGGGAAGCTTCATATCATAAATCTCTCTCTCTCTCTCTCTTTTTTTTTTTTTTTCTGAGACAGGGTTTCTCTGTGTAGCTTTGCTCCTTTCCTGGAACTCACTCTGTAGACCAGGCTGGCCTCGAACTCACAGAGATCCGCCTACCTCTGCCTCCTGAGTGCTGGGATTAAAGGCGTGCGCCACCAACGCCCAGCCATAAATCTCTTATCACTGCTGAAATCTTCAAATGCTCTCCCATGGCCTGTAACCCACATTGCCATCACCCGCCAGGAACCTAGCCCTTCCCAGCTCTCCACCTCCAAACTCAGTGCTCCAGTTATCTTTTCTAGTCATGTGCTGGTCAGTTTTTTTCTTCTTTTCTTTTTCTTTCTTTTTCTTTCTTTCTTTCTTTCTTTCTTTCTTTCTTTCTTTCTTTCTTTCTTTCTTTCTTTCTTTCTTTCTTTCTTTCTTTCTTTCTTTCTCTCTCTCTCTCTCTCTCT